TTTTTTTCCCTTTCGCTGTTTTAATCTTTAATTGTTTGAGATTTTGTAGCCGTTCCAGTTCCTGCTCTTGCCTTCCTCTATTTTCATTTTTTTGGACATGTTTAATTTTCCCAAGCTCTTTTCTCTTTCTTTTCTTCTCGCAATTTAGATATTTACTTTTATTTTCTCATATTTTTATACTTCCTTGTACTATGTTCTTAATTTGCATAATTTGTTTTGTTTTATATCCTCTACCGTTTGTTCCTTTTCTTACAACTCGTAGTTTTCGTTTTCATCATTTTTTAAACCTTTTATTTCCATTTGTTTTGACTTTTTGTACTCTGAATTTTTTGAGTTTTAGACTTTTTCAAAAAAATCTTCTTAATTGCAACTGAATAGAAATCTATACCCATTCGCAGGTACTTAGTCAAACACAATAATTAAGAATGTGACGTCTGCATTCAATGATCTTTAATTATTGAACTCCACCCGGTCTATTAGGCGTTGCTTATCGTCTGCTTCAGTTCGAGTTGTCGTTTTCGACTGCACTGAACACCCAATATCAGGTCACTTCTCTACACAGCAATTTCATGARCAAAATGAAGCTTTTTGAAATCATTCTCGGAGTTCTTTGCATTTTTGCTTATCAAGTAGCTAATGCCGCTAAATGCTACGTCTCGGTTGATGGRATAGCTCTTGTTGACCACGTCATGGACTCCTTCYMTRTCKACCACATCGAYACTTGTTAYGAAAGATGCGCTGCAAWGCTAGGMTGTGARAGCATCAACTTTTACGTGAAAAATCGCTTGTGTGAACTTAACAACAGGACTGTTGAGAATACCCCGAGCAAGAAAGTCTTCAACGAAAAGGCGGTTTATCTTAGGAACCCAAATCCAGGTAAGACCGGCGCAAAATCCATACTTACAAATCCATACTTACTTGGATATACACGATAAAACTAGCTACTGCTTACGACAAAACAGCAAATAGGTCAAAGGGAACATAAGATATTGATGAAGGGGGTGAAAATGTGTGAAAAAAGAATTTGGAATATTTTATATGATTTGAGATTCAACACCTGAAGTGCACGAACAGAACATTAAAGTCCATTTTTTCCTTTCAGATTTTGATGAATGTTCTGTGGCTAACGCTTGCCATGCTAACGCGCAATGCACTAACACATTTGGATCGTACGACTGTCAGTGCAAACCTGGTTATCATGGAGATGGGAAGAATTGCTCAGGTATTCTAATTATATCTCAGTATTTTTTTATGCTGACACATGACCCAAACGGGTTCTTCAAGATTATTGTCAGAAAACTAAGGCTATGTAAACAGACTTATAAACTCTCCTTGTAAGTTGAATTTTAGTTAAACAATGTTTTCAGTAAATATGCAGGCTATGAAGATAGAGCGGATTTCGTATGAGTGGGACACCGTTACCGCACGGTTACCGCACAGTTACCGCGACTGGCCTGCACAATTTTGGTGAACCAATGGGGCACTAGAATTTGGTTACAGTACGATTACGGTCACAGTACAGTACCGTCCGTTTCCCACTCATACGAAATCCGCTCTATGGCATGTAAATTATTGTGTACATTTGTATATTTTTGGTTTGTTTTATTTTCTTTATTTTTTTTTTCAGTGTTATTTTGTTTTCCAACGGTTTGTTGACCAGTTTCACAATGTTCCCGTTCCCGTTCTAAAGGTCCCGTACTACCCAGGATATAACGTTCTAAAAGTTACATTGTATTATTAGAGCAATTTGTTCTAAAAGTTGGCGCATACACTTACCGAATATTAACTCTGTTTCCATGACGATGGCAGACATGCTCAAATATTTACTTTTGATGCATCGTTTTAACGAATTGAAATTTTCTAGATGTGGATGAATGCTCAACAGGCACCCATACCTGCGATGTAAATGCAACTTGTACTAATAAACTTGGCTCGCACACTTGTCGATGTAATCATGGTTTCCAGGGTAATGGGCGGACATGTACAGGTATATTTACGAATATACTTCGCCATGTGATTTCATCATTATAGCAGTGACTTTTTTTTCTCTAGATGTGGATGAATGCTCAACAGGTGCCCATAACTGCAATGTTAATGCCAAGTGTACTAATAAAATTGGTTCGTACATATGTCGATGTAATCATAGTTACCAGGGTAATGGACTGGCATGCACAGGTATTTTCTTGAATCTCCTTCGCCTTGAGATTTTATCGTTAATAGCGCAGCTTTGCACCCTTTTTTTCTCTCTCTAAATGTCGGTGAATGCTCAACATGTAAACATACTTGCAATGGTAATTCAAAGTGTACTAATAAAATTGTGTCATTTACTAATGATCAAGGGATGGGTGGCGGTTTAGCTGCATGGTTCAACGATGTTTCGCAGGATGCTCACTTGGCCTGCTATAGTTTTTTTTCCAGTTGTCAAAGTTGTTTTCAGCAATTTCATTTTCTATATTGAGTGAAATATTCAGTTGATTTTTATAATAATTGTTTTTTTTAAGACATTGATGAATGCTCGTCTGGCGTCTATCCTTGCCATGCAAATGCACTTTGTACTAATACTAATGGATCTTACAATTGCCGTTGTCAAGGTGGTTCTGGTGATGGACGACACACCTGTAGAAGTGAGTAAAAGCGTTTTAGCTGTGTTCACACCTAAATCTAAAAATAGACAAATATTCTGTGTTAACTTATCAAAATTTCTGTGGCAAGTCCTGCTACTAACACAGGACTACCCCTCCCCCTCTCCTAATTTTAGGGGGATCACTTAAAATAGAGTGTTGTTCATAGTTTTGTGTTTTATTATAATTTCAATTTAATCTACTCGCATTAATATTCATGATGTAATTTTGCGAATGGTTATTCTGCTATTTTCAGCATTATTCCCAAAGTCTTGCAATGAGCAAAAGAAGGCATTTCCCGCCTCAAGATCTGGTACCTACACCATTGATCCCGATGGCAATATTGGAGAGGTACCTTACAACGTGTATTGTGACATGACAGACAAGGGTGGGGTGGGGGTAACGGTTATCAGCCACAATAGAGAAAATTGGGATAGTGTCAACAATTGTCCTCCTAGTCCAGGTTCTTGCAGTCGTATTGTTTCATATAATGGAACATCTCTCGCCCAGTTAGCTAAACTGACTGAAATCTCAACACGATGTGAACAATATATTGTGTATTCTTGCACGGGTGATGTACTTTTCATCGAGGCCTCTTACGCTTGGTGGGTATCACGTGACGGTGTAAAGCAGTATTACTGGGGAGGTGCAACGCCGGGAAGCAAAAAATGTGCTTGTGGTAAGACAAACACTTGTCACAACAAGAAAGGATGTAATTGCCATAATAGTGCTGGTGGGTGGCGTACTGACGGAGGTCTGCTGACAGATAAGACAACCCTACCGGTGAAAGAGATGAGGTTTGCCGATACTGATGGCAGCAATGAAAATGCTGAATATTATCTTGCTAAACTAAAGTGTTACTAAAAAAACATGACATCCTTTAACACTGAACATATTGATCAAAAGTAATCATTTCCAATCCCAGACAGAAAATGTAGTGATTTCTGCGCATCCTTTTTTCAGAATACAAAATGATATAATGAAAAATTCAACTAGTAAAAATAACTGGTGATAGACCGGCGTTTTAGCCACTCGTTTATCCTTGCTCACTGAACTACATATGGATCTTTGCGTATTCTAGGATGGTGCTAAATTGGTGAGACGATGTATCATTGCAGAATTTTTCTTGATGACGCAAATTTTAAGCTAATACCAATACAGTTTTGAATGTCTACATCCAAAAATTGATTGTTTTGGTTCGAAGTCGCCCCCACCCAGCTACTGAGAAACAGGTTAGTTACAAGAACGAATGACATCATTTACTCGATCACTATAACCTATAGATATCAATAATCGATAAGAATTAATATATGTAATACCATGATCACCTCGGATTCTTTTGTCTTCCGAGGGATGTTTACAAGCGAACATCCCTCCCTCATGAATAGCATGAGGGACGATTACTAGTAATCGTCCCTCATGCATAATAACATGAGGGACGATTAGACTAATCGTCCCTCATGTTATTCATGAGGAACGGAAGGCAAAGGAAACCTTTGCTTCCCAGCAGGGACAACTGAATGTCCCTACAGCTGTCTTCTTTTTACCTCTGCAATGAACGCTCTGGTTATCGTCTCATTCACACTGAAATGTGGGATGATTTTTGGGACAAATTGACCGAGTAGCTCTGGTTCCGAGTATCTACTTCGTACCGCTGAGCATGTGCACTTGACGAATTTCAATGTTTGATAATAGTTGATAAGCTTCTTGGCATTATACTTGCAAATATAAAAACAACTTTTCGCGATTGAAGTTAAGGTTCGTTAACTTCAGCATTGAATAGAACTGTGAAAAGCAATTTCAAACAAAGTTCGTTGTGGGAAATCAGTAACAATGGTCGGATTATCAATATCATTTTATACTGTTGTTCGGCGAGTGATACTCTTAGAACAGTGCGTATCAATTCTTTTCATGTCACATTCCAATTCATGCTAATTGTTTGTTGCAATGTTTATTTCTGATTGAAAACATTGGAGCATGCAAAAAAAACAAGAATTCAAATTCGCTCAAGTTCAACTTCAATTTTTCCTCGGAAATCATGGTATTACAAAGTAAGGCATGGCTTCCTCGGGAGATTAAGGATTAAATGTCCCTCAGCCTCGGGCAGATAAGTAAAAGTCCCTTGGGCCTGCGGCCGTCGGGACTTCAACTTATCTGCCCTCGGCTTCGGGGACATTTAATCCCTAATCTCCCTCAGAGCCATGCTATTACTTATAAATACAGTCCATATTCGATGGAATACGATATGGTAACACTCGTGATTGATATTTAGCTCGATTGCGTGACGAGTTATCTTAGAGTTATACTGCATTCTGATTGGTTATTCAACCAGAGGTCTAATTAACGATAGACCATAGATGAAAAAAATCGCGAATACAAGAGAATAAACTGCCTTTCACAATAATAAGTCAATATTTCAGAATAGAATAAAATAGATACTTCATCAAAAGAGGGTGAACTAAATAGCTTAAAGCTAACAAACTTGTGGCCCTCAAGCTGAGCTCATTAATGACCTACTAGTATGCTTACAATACTAAAACAATTCGACATCGGGAGCATAGAGACCACACACAATAACCCATGGGGCTAGGCCTGGGGCTTTTAGCGCGTTTTTCCTAGAGGTCCAGTTGTTTAAGGCCCACCTGCATCCAAGAGATCCTTGCGATCGTTTCATTTGTTTTTAAAATAATCGCGTGTTAAAAGCTGATTTCTGGTTCAAAATTAAAGATGGCGAATTTTCGTATGACTGTGAGAAAATCGGTTCTTAGATGCAAGTATGCCTTTATTTAAAAGATATTTATCAATCTATTTCGTATTATACCTATAGCTTTTAGCTGAAGAGACGCACTGACGTAATCGATAGCACAACCAGTTTATCGATTTAGCATTATCAAAACAACCAAAAAAAAATCAAAAAGTTTGATTTAGGACTATAGGTAAATGATAACTGTGTTATCAAGGGGCTTTATTATAGATATTAGTTTCTATTTAATGATTAATATCAATGAGGTTTGTAGGTTTTCTATAAGTTTTGTAGTTCGGGATATCTTCTAGAAATTCCCCAGCAATCAATTGCAATTGTATCTCTTCACAACTATAATTCGTATAATAGTCATAAGTAGTACACGACTGTACACTCTCGATTTTAACTGTGATTTTTGTAATAATTTTCAAAAATATCATAGATTTATCCTTGTGGATTAGAG